TGCCCGCAGGTTTAGCATTCCTAACGTGCAGCATAACAGCAAATTTTGTCTGAAACCGTGCTTTCCTGCTGATCTGCCTCTGTGAAGAGCACGGTCAAGGACTGAGACTTACATACTCTTAACCAGACTGCTGCTGAGAAACCTGCAGGTCGAACACCAAATAAAACTAAGTGTCTGAGAATATACTGGAGGGCAGGTATTTAATCTCTAAACCTTAATGCTGGACAAGCAGTTTGGATATATTCTGTATCAGAAAGAACATTAGGAAATAGATTCAGAAATTAATTAAATCCCATGTGTAACTAGAAGATACACACTTTCTGGGAGAGGAAAACTAAGAGACTTCTGGCAAAACTAAATGACAAGTATGAATGTTTTGGATTTTTTTATGTATAGGGTAAATAACCTGAGCACATTAAAATGTTTCTATGTAGTAGTCTAATAAATGTACAGTTATGACAGGTATTGAAATCAATTCTTGATAAAGATTTTTGGGAGATGCCTTTCTCTTTCTCCAGAGAATAACAGAACAAAATGTTTAATCCCAAATGTTTGTCTTCCTATATTTGGGAGAGATTGAGCAAATAAAAGAATTGATAAACTCTGTCTCTGCAGGTAGAAATTATTTTCTGCAGCCTTCCAACCTGCAGGGCTTTTCACTCAGTACAAGAATATATGGTGCACCTTGTCAAAGGCTGGGGATAAAACAGAGAGAAACAGAAATGGTGTTTTGCTGCCAGTGGCATCTTTAGATGAAGGAGAAAATTGACTGGGGAGTTGGGGAAAAATTACTTGAAAGATTGATGCTTCAAGTTTGAGGAGAGGAGCAGTTCCATTTGTAGGTCAGTACTTAAAGCCATAAGAAGATCAGGGTGATACAAATAATGTGTACTTCTAACACTGCCTTTGTAAAGATAAGGGGTTTTGACTCTGCAATTCTCCAGCAAGCCTTAATGATGTTAACTATAGATACTGTTTTCATGATACTGAGATGAAATCTTTTTCCTTTAAAGCTCACTGTTGGAGCTTTCTCATGGCTTTTTTTTTTTTTTTTTTTTTTTTTTTTTTTTAAATGTGTTGTTTGGGAGAAAGGGTTTTAACTTCATAAAAAATGAACAGGTTCCCCTGCTGCTCTCACACTGCAATGGCCTGCAGATGTGCATAGGTGACATCCAACAACTGTAGATGTAAATCCTGAATAGGGATCTGTAGCTTCTTCGGGAGTAAATGGGGTCTTTCTGAGGAAACTCGTATGAATATGAATGGCAACCCTCTTACTGAGTTGACAAAAGCCAGGAAGGCAGGTTTTTTGCCCTTCAGTAGTTACTGCAGGCAATGGCTACTGTTAATTATTGTTAATAAGTAATATTAACATAATCGTTTGAAGAAATCTTCTGACAGAAAAGTACAGCTGCAAAGACACAAGCGAGAATAAGTCCCATGAAGGTAAAGCTTATTCATCTCTTTGTTCAGAGGTCATCTTATATAGGGACCTCCTTCACAAAGAAAAGAAATAAAGAGGAGATAAACCCTCTTCTGATAAGCATTTTAGTTAGTATATTCTTTAGGGAGGTTTTTTACTTTTGATTTTATTTTTTTCAAGTTTTGGAAGTTTGAAGTACTTCACTGTGCTTAAAAACCTGATAAAAACCTGTAAAAGTGAGCCATTCAGCTGGTGGCTGCCCAGCACAAGGCTCTCGCCCTGTTGTGAGCTGGTGGTGTCTCACCAGTGCTGGTCTGTACTGGCTGCTAGTGCTGAAGGTCGGTCAGGCGAGGTGTGGAGCACAGGGTTGATGGCTTATGCTGTTGAATCCATTTATGTGAAAAAACCTTTACATCCGAGGCCATGAGAAAAGGGTATACATACTGCCTCTCTAGTTTTAGGCAGTGACTGAGATGCCTGAGCCAAGGTGAGTGAGTGTCTCCAATATCACCTTTTCCCAGTGATGAAGACAGACCAGCCTGCCGAGGTGAACACCAGTTGGCTTTACCCAGTCTTGCTGCTGGGGTGAAGTCCAGCCTTTCTACCACCTACTCTGCTGGCAATTGCAGTTAAGAGCAGCATGAGGTGTCGTTAGGACACATGTAGGAGCACCTCTTCCATTCAGGGGATGGGGGGCACGATTCACACCAAAGCAATCAAAAGATGCTTTTTATCTCATTCCAGAGTGTGGCAAAACCACTAGATGACCCGCCCTAAATAAATGATATATTTTATTTAAGTTTCCCGGTTCAGTCGTTGATTCACGGGCTGTGAGGTGTTTGCTGTTGCTTCCTACAGAGTATAGCAAACTGTGTAAATGAAGTAGTCAGGTTTTACAGAATTACAAACCCATGAGGAGTTTGTACCCTGAAGGGAGGACCAGCCACTGGCTGGACTGCTTCTGAGTGGAGTCGTTAATAGTTCATCTGTAACCATTAAACAGCTTCAAAATATTTGTCCTCTTGAGAGTAACCTGAGCTCTGCTTAAAGGAAAAAAGAATAGAGAAAGGAGAAAAAAGAAAAAAAAAAGAAAAAAAAAAAAAGGAGCTAGGGTAGCAGTGGGATAAAAATGTCATTTAAATTGAATGTTGCCACTACGGAGTTACAGGTAACTTCTCACTAGCAAATGTAGCAGATGTGTATCTGTGCTATGTCTTTTGAAAACACTTGAGAACAGTTTTATCGGAAAAAAAAAAAAAATTCTTAAAAATTGACCTGTTGCAAACCAATTTTTGGCCATTTGTTTAAATATGAGGAAGAAGGACTTTAGAAAGACTTTAAAAAAATTTTTGAATGTAACATTAAAGCACGTGTGAAACTTTTGCTGATTGGCACCAAATACAGCTACTGATGGCTTAAGTCATGTGCAAAGTACAGCATAATTAATTCCATGTTGACAGCCTTGGTCATTTAAATCAGAAAACAACCAGTCGCCCTGCAAATCTTTCCACAGCCACTCCAGAGCTATTCTTCGGGGACTTTCTCCTGTATTAGTCATTCTGAGTCCACTTGATCTTTTGAGTGCTTTGCTGAGATTACTGAAAAGGCAAACATGCTCTGAAACAAATTTGCTGCAGCAGAATTTTGAACAAGTTTTGGTTGTTGGTAGTCTGAGATAGTATGTGTAGTAATTCCAGGCTTGATTTAAAGTGCTCTCTTGCCTGTCCCCAGGAGGGAATTTGACAAAGATAACTGGTTAATTACAGTTTTAAGAGGTGATTTACTGAGGAAATTGGAAAGATCTAAAATGTTCTGCTCATTAAGAGGAGATTTTTTCTCTAGTTTAAGGTGCAGAAAGCTTCATGCAAAATAGAACATTTTCCTGGTTTAGCTGTTGCAAATGCTGAATTGAATTCACTTGTATATCTTATTGTTTAAATATAAGGTATCCCATATTGAGAGAAAATACCAACAGTTCAATACCTTCCCCTTTCAAGGAAGAGTAGAGACTCAAATAGTAGAAGAAATGTGTGGATTTTATGTAGGTGATTTGCCTTAAGGCTTCTCTGAGAGTCTTGCTGGTGTTTAATGATTCTGCTATTGCTCAAGTACTTTTTCTTGAAGTCAGAAAAAACTTGCCCTGAGTGAGTCTGATGAGGTCTACATCTCAGCATTTTCATTATACAACGTCTTGCAGATGCTGTGTGGATGTGAAGTTGCCTGCTGGTCTAATTGCCTTCCATTCCCCCTACCTCCCCCAATACTTGGAAATAAATAACTGGGAAAACTTGCTTAGGCAAGTTCAGTTTACAGACTTCTTTGAGATTTTACTTTGGACTGCAAAATGTCATGTTGGATTTAACTAAAGCATACAGTAAACCAATCATTATGATTGCAAAGTTGAATATATAATATTTGAAGATCGGGGAGAGGAAGGTAGTAAAAATTAAGTACGCTGCATTTCTCACATGGATATGACTTGGTGATTAAACTGGATTATTTCTGAGAATAAGAATTCCGGTTGGCCAGGAATTTGGTGGGGTTGACTAAATCCGGTAATTAGTAGCTTACTATAAAATATGCTTAGAAAGTTAGCCCACTTATTAAGTTATGAATGTATAAATATTAAGATAAAAGATTGCAATATGTGAGAACATTACGGAAATAGAGAAATCCTTAAATTACTTGCAGAGTAAGCATTTAGAAGTATTTTTTTTAACACTGACTTGTACTCAGATCTACTGATTTAATGTATTTTTACTTTTAGGCATCTCAGGTATTACTGTTAAACTTTTCTTTCACTGTATTACTATGAAAGAGTTCATAGCATGAAAAATGTATGTTGTGTAGAAACTGCCCAGTGCTATTCATGTGCCTTCACTTTAAAAACAACTGTTAAATTTTTTAAATCATCGCTATAAAAATTATGTTTACTTGGGACCACAGCTGTTTTTTTCAGAAATTACGTAAAAATACATGCAGTGACTTTTTGCACCTACAAGTGCGTTTTATGAATTTACTGTTGTAAACGTGTTATCTAAGTACTATTCATTAAAGTTGCTTGACTCGGACTGTTTCCTGGCAGTTGTTAAAAGCACTTGCTGATGGGATGGTCTATTCTAATTCAGTACACCTTGCTATCTGCTTCAAAACTGGTGAATTGCCTAAATATCAAACAGTAGTAAATTCTTAAGCAATTTGCTGTACTTTGCTCTAAAAATTTTCCAGTGCATTGTATTAGCTATAGTTCCAGTTCTACTGAACTTTGATGAGAAAGAAAGCCTAAAAGGGACGATGATAAAATTATGTTTTAGCACTCAGTCTTGTGCAAATCAATGTTGACATTTCCCATGTCCTTTAAGGATCTTATATGTGCTTCTTGTAGGGTGACATTTGCCTTTCAGAAAAACAACCATTAAAAAATATGAGAGAAAAAAATATTTTCCATGCTGTATTTTCAGACACTTATTCTTGGGATTCTCTTACTTTTGGAATTTACAATATAAAGTATCCTTAGAAGAATATCAATTCTACAATAAATCTACCTGCTAAGTACTAGATCCTGTTCTATTTTCAGAAAAAAGCCAAGGGCCAGCTCCTGTTTGAACAGATCATGTATCATCTGGACCTTATAGAAAGCGACTACTTTGGATTAAGGTTCATGGATTCAGCACAAGTGGCGGTGAGTAGCAGTGCTTATTTTTTCTTTTTTTTCCTCTTTCTTTTCTTTCTTTTAAGCAACAATCTAAAAGCTATGTCTTAATATTGACAAAAATGCTATAAGAAAGCTGCCTTTTTTAAGTTTTCTGCAGAAGCTCTGTGGTGTGTTGGTTTAAGTGACCCTAAGTTTAATTCCACCTTGAGCACTCTTAACATATTATAATGCTGTTGTCTCTTCCTTTCTTGTCTTTCACTTGTTCCTGTCATACCTTCTGTTGTTAGGTAGGGTGACCCAGTAGGGCCCTAGAGCCTGGCACATCTTGTAGCAATTCTTGATGCTACTGATACAGGGAGAAAGGGGCAAAACTAGAGTGTGTGCTTGGTCCTTCGTTGTTCTACAGAGTGTAGAAAGTTTTTCTTTGCCAAATCAATCAACTTTCTTGTTAACAAAACTCATCTTGTTAATGTCTGTTTGGAAATAATCTTGGCAATATCTTTGATTTGCTCAAATTGGTTGTGACTCAGACCTGCAACTAGAAATTTTTGTGAGGATACAGGTGTGTTTATATCTGCCAGATAGTTTGAGTAGAGGATTCTTGCAAGCCTGAGTTTGTTTGTGAAATTTGTTGTGTGTTTGTAAAAATGTGACTGCTTTTGAAAACAAAAGCAAGGCATTCTTTGTCACAAGCAACTACAATTCTTTCACTTGGGGGCTGTGCAGTTTTATGATGCTTCTTATGGCCAAGTTCTTAACCCTGCCCACAAGGATAGCTGCAAGTTAAGTGAGGTGTTAGACAAGGAGTGGATTTTTGTTTTTGTCCTGCATCCCAGTAATTTAAACCTATATTTACTTATTCCAACACCCCCAGGTAGAAAGAGATCTGAGTTTTAATATTGTGTATGTCAATCTTATTTGTTAATGTATGACCTAATTGTTTTAGCATTTCAAGTCCACTTCAGAATTATTTCATGATTGGGAAGGCAGAGTGGATTCACAGACAGTTGCTGCTGAGCTGTATACCCACATATTTTGAGGTCAGCATAGAAAATGCAGGCAGTGACATATATTCCTTTACTTCTGTGAAGGTCTATGTCCAGAGCAATTTGAAAATGACATCACAATTGTTACAGCTTTGCACCATGGCAAAAAACTCGCCAAGCTTGAATCTTTGACAGAACCTGACAAAGTTGCACACGGTGTTATCCACTCCAAAGCATGCTTACAGCCTAACGGCTACTTTGCAAAACTCTTGCAATCCAGTTTTATGCTTAGCTTGTAATTGTAGAGAACATCTGAGAAAATAATTTGTGTTCAGCATCTGAAGCAAATTTCATGACTAGCAGGATTAGCTGCTGCTGGGCTGCAGTTTCCAGTAGTGAAAGTGGTCTTAAGTGTCTCTTGCAGAACAGACATTTTACAGTAAGAAGAAAAAGACCATTATACTAATGGAGGGATGTCATTCAGAACCATGCATGCCTCCTACCAGCAGAAATTAGAAAACAGTCCATTGCATACCATTTTATATATATAAGAATCATGTTAGGTCTGTTAAGCATGTGTAGTGTAGGAAGTTGGGTATTGATAGTGAATGACTCCCTTGCATTTATCATTTTGCTTCAGGAAAAAAACAAATCTGTACATTTTAATAATCCTAACAATTTCTGCCATGTGGCTTCTGAAGTATTCCCTTGTGCCTCTAGGATCCATAAGACTTCACAGTGGGTTAATTATAACTGGTAAAACTATGTGGTAAACTTATTTTCTCTTCGTGTTCTGTTACCAAGTATTGTAATTTCATTTTGAAATGGGGAAATAAGAGTTAATCTTTTCTGCCTCAGCAATGGCTCAGGGCTTGCTTTTGTCCAGCAAATTGTTACTTCCAGTCCAGACAGCACCTGATTGAGTATTTGATAGTGCGCAATCTACTAGGTACAAGCCATTTCAAACTTCATTTGCTTCATTTTCTTAACTATGTGTGACTGAGAAGAGGCAGAGTAGAGATAACAATCTGTTTAAACTGGACTTTAATGATACGCTCAGTATAACTAAGCAGAAAAGATTGCATTTTGCCAGAGGAACAGAACACAACAGCCAGAGATAATTGCTTTAAGAAATGAAAAACTGTTGTGATGGCACCCATTCTTGTAAAGAGGAGCTGGCACATTCTAGCAGAAACCCAATCCGCAGCTGGAAACAAAGGCAGAGACTAATCAAGTGTCTTGTCAAAGATTATTCAGGAGACTTGTTAAATAAACAGTGTAAGAATCCAGTCCCTTACTGTGGTCAGAATTGTCTGCTGCCTCTGAGGGTGATAATCTTTCCGCTACCCAATTTAAATCTAAGTATATTGTCTTACTAGCTAGTTACACCTGATGATACAAAAACTCTGGCAAACTAGCAGTATGTAGTTAAATAAAAAATTGATACTTCCCCTGTTTAACTACGAATGAGTTTTCAATAAATTTTTGAACAGTTGAAGGATAGCTTTTTTTTTTCCTTCTTTTGAGCTGCTGAAGTGATTAATAGTTAGATGTTTGAGTTTATGATGTACTGGGGAGTGAGTGGAACCCAGACTCTTCCTGACATTTTAGATTTTAGGATTCAAATACTAGCTGCTTTAAAGAAGTTTTTGAAACAATTAGTTAAGTGAAAGAATTGTCATTTTCATGTGATTTTGGTGTTCATTGCTAGTCTGATGGTTAGGAATAGATTCCTCACCTCCCTCCCTCAGGTAAGAGTCAGGAGATGGCAAAAGGAGTTATTTGCAAGATTGTCCACCATACATCAGACTTGGTCTGGCAGCCAAGGGAACAAACAGGCTATTGTTAATTTGAGTAACTTCAGCTGAGAATGACAACGAACAGTGCAGCATGAAGATTGCTGTTAACTTATTGGACTATTTGGTTTTCTTCCAGCAGTGCTGGAGAGATGTCTCTATTAAGGAGGCACTGAACATTTAACAGGTGGCAGATTTGTAATTCTAACATACAGTTTGCAAGCTTCAATACTTGCTCGTTCTAATGGAATTGTACAACATATTGGTTTATTACTCTGGCAGTTTTATCTAATGTAGCGCTTAATGCTGAAAATTATTCGTATAGCATTTCACTAAGTTATGCACCCATTAATTCCATAAAGTATGGAACCAGTTTTAGCCTTACAGTCTTGCTAAGAAAAACCTCCTTTACCCTACCTTCTTGAAATGCTGCTGGGTTTTAGGTGTTGGTTTTGTGTTTTATTTTGGGTTGTCTTTTTTTTTTTTTTTAATTTGTGAAGCAGCAAACTGTTTTAGTAAGGACTTGCAGTACTCTATGCAGTCTGTTGTTCATACTGGGTTTTGTTTAGCAAACTTTATCTCTACATTTCAGCAGTAGACTGTGCTGAGCAAATGCTCATCAAAATGTAAACTTTCTGCCAGGTCCACTTGAATTCCATTTTAATCACGTGGAATAAATCTTAAGTTTCCCAACATCTGTGTGTGTGTCCATGCATGTGCTCGTTTGAGATTTTTTTTGTTTTGTTTTGGGTTGTCGGTTCCCCCCCCCCCCATTTAAAAGCAATTCTGTTTCCCTTCTTACACACACCCGTTATGGTTCAGACAGAGCTCTTGCAGGCAGTGGTGGTAAGAGATGAGCGGAGTAAAACCCTATCAGTGCCTGTCGTGGGCCTCTCAGTTGCCTTCCCATGGAATGTGGAGGAGATGAGAGAAAACAGGAGGGAGATGAAACAGGCGTGCACAGACAGTCCTGGAGTCTAGAAATGGCTCCCTTTGCCATTCCTTTATCTAAATCACCTGCAAGCCTCCAAGTGGGTAGTTTGTACATTTTTATGGTGAAGGAAGGAGTAAGTAAATTGTCTCCTACAGCAAGTGAGTTTATGGAATAGGAAGAGAGATTATGTAATTTTCTTAAAGAAACAAAAAAAATTGCTTAACTCCATTCGTTGACAGTGTAAGCAAAGTTGACATAAATACTTGCTCCATTCTTCCTTAAGATTCCTGCTTTATTTAAAAATATATTAGATACATTTCAGATAGTTTTCTGTAGCTACTTTAGTAGGTAATGGGAGCATTTTCAGCTGCGTGCACAGTAGATGGTTCAGTTGTTCTAATCTGCAGCTGATCTATCAGTCACTGCATATCCTGGCCTGTATTACAGGCTGACTTTATACACTCTGCAGAAGGCAGGATTCCTCTGAAGACAGGAATGTGTTTGCACTTGGCATTGCAACCTGAAAATACCGGTTCTTTCTCATACCCCTGTTGCTTTTCTGTCCTCCATGGGGCCCACTGTGAACTTCATAGCACATAGTTTAACGAAAGGAGTGTTGCTAAGTATATAATTCATCTGTATTAGTTGCGAGGTGAGATTTGGGGTTGATCAGATGAGGTGGTGTTACCTGGGTATTGTGAACCATGCAGGACGTGGTGTGCTAGGTAGTTTGCTCTGGCTGTTGTGTCAAGGCAATTACGTGAAACAGGGTGCTGTGTTTACTTTAACTGAGTCACCTCCTCTGGAGGAGAGAGCTGTTCACTATGCACAGCACTTGGAAGTAGGTCTCTACCGCTAGCTGTTTGTTAGCTTTCCAGCTTTATCTTTATTTTCTAGTATAAACTGTTCAGCAGTGGGAGCATATGCAGTTATTTTAAGGAGCACAGCATATACGTGTAGATGTTTCTTGCAACCTGCCATCTAAGCTAGATTTTCACATGCTGTTGTATGCAGTATAAGCAAAGCCTTTATTTTGGCTTCACGTCTAGTATATAGCTTATAATTAGCACTGGTAGGTGAGGCAGTGACAATTGCTAAAATGTCAGGTGTGAATAGGTTTTGAAGAATTAAGTAGAGCTGACCCTTGTGTTCGGACATAGACAGCTATGCTGTTACTATGCTTGAGTCACCTAAAGAAAATGCCTGAAAGCCAACATCTATCCTACCTCTTCCCTTCCACCCCAAGTGGACATCACAAACAACTGAGTGCCAGAGTCCCCAGCTATGATTTATGCCTCTCTGGCACATCGTCACTGGGTGACCTACTAATGTGTGAATTGTTTGTTTGTTTGGACAGGATGAAAATTTTAGTAATTTAAGTGGTTTGTCAGTACATTTTTTTAAAAGTAGATAGTGCTTTCTTGAAGATTGGCTTTAAGTAAGGGACTACAGGATGTTTCTGTTGTTCAAAAGTGACATTTTACATTATAAACTTTGAGAGAAAGGATCTTCCATGAGCACTGAGAGCGGTGAATTGTGAAAGATTTGGATTAGATGTTTTAACGAACTAATTGTTATTCCAAGATGGTCTTCACTAATGAATAGGGTTTTTTTTTCATTTTTTTGTTCTTTCTGTGAGATTATTGATAATTCAATGAAAGTAATTTATTTTTCAGCATTGGTTGGACAACACAAAAAGCATTAAAAAGCAAGTTAAAAGTAAGTGTCCTTTCTGTTTTCTCTTGGGATCTCATGTTGAATATACAGGAGGCACGGAGAGTTGAAATGGGGGCAGGGGGGAACAGGACACAGTGTCCTGTGAGGGGTGACAGGACCTGGTGTCAAAAAACCAGCATGGTGCTGCTGATTGTTTAATGACCTCTTCTCTCTGTAGCTCATATTACTTTAGTCTAATGTCCTTAATTAAACATGTTAGATGCTCATTAATTATAGTCTAAATGGAGTCAAAGCAGATGAAGATGCTTTAGTGTTATAGATCATTACCCTGACTATAGGAAAATTCATCTTGAAGCTTCCATCTCTTGAGGCAGTCCTGAATGCCCAAATCTGTGTTCAGTGCACCAAGTCCTTACCTGCTGCACAAGAGTTTACTGTGGTCTGGTTGTTTCAGTGGTGTGTAAACTGTGATATCAGCCGATCTTTGTTTAGCAGCTTCCTTGCTCTCTGCTGTGGGAAGTCTTCAGGGATTTGTGGTGCTGTGTTAATACAACAGAGGTTTTGGAAGCACCGAGGGAGAGAAAATTCCTCCTGTCAGATGCAAGAATTAGCAGAGAGCCGCACATTTTGAAAGACCTGTTAATCCATCCTTTTGCTGGATTAACCCTTTGGTTTCCAGAAAAGATGATTCTTCCACAGAAGGGTCTGTTAAATCCCTCTAAAACATGTCTAAACTTTTGTAGAATAAAAGAGCCTGAGTTGTCAGCAGTGGTTATTTCCCAGAGCCCTGGGAAGGCATTACAGAGACCAACAGAGTGCCTGGGTGTTTGGTCAACTGCAGAGCTAAGATGCACAAGCTTTCTTGGTGATGGATAGAGTCCTTAAATATAGGGATTAACCTAGATTTGTCTGCTCTTGGCAGGACAAATCAACTTAATGTGATGACTGTTGGATTGAGTTGTAACATATAAAACTATTCTGTGCATATGTTTAAGTGTCCTTTCACCCTGATGTTTTTCATTCATTTCCCTGTCACAAAGAAGTTGCTGCCTTAAGACCTTGTGGTAGGACAGAGCCAATTTCAGTCAAGTTTTGTGTTGTAATTCTGAGTAATAAAAATAAGATATCTCATCCATAACTGTTACCACTGTCCTGAATGAATTCTACTTTGCAGTTGGCCCACCGTATTGTCTGCATTTTCGTGTAAAGTTTTACTCATCAGAGCCCAACAATCTACGTGAAGAGCTAACAAGGTAAGAGGGATTTTGTGTGACAGAGAGGTACCCAAATAAGGCTAGGGAAGCATTTTTGTGGTATTTATTTGAACAGTTGTATGATGTCTTGGAGAATTCCTTAGAGTAGCTTGCTTGCCTGACTTTTTGCAAATGTTTCTAGAGTAGCTCTCATAAAATAAACAACCTCTAATGTAAAGAGATTTATATATTTACTACTTGATGCACCATTTTTCATTAGGCAATTCTGGCAACTGATCTGAGTAGCTTATACACAATGGGCAGAGATTTTTACTGAAGAGAATAGACATCATTCCTCTTTAGTCATCTTAAGCTGCATTTAGCTTCAACTGTATGTAGTCATACTGCCTTTTTAGGCAGAAAAGCATTGAATTGCAAGTTAGAGCTTCTCTTTGGTAAAAATAAGTTCAGATAATGTTTCAATAGTTCTGTGGTCTTTGCAGAGCTTATGGGAAGGGAACTGTTTTAGTAACATGTTGAGATGTGAGTTGACTACTGCATGTGTAGGGTTTTAGTATCAGGTGAGCAGCAGTTTCATTCGATTAAAGCATTTCACAAATCCATTCATAATGCCACGTTTCATGTTGGACTGAGACATACTTGGGGTGCTTTGAAAGAGAACACAACCTGCCATCTGTCAGTAGTGTAAATCTGTTGTAAAAGGCAATGTTTCTTTGCATTGTCACCACTGCTGATGATCTGTTTTGGAGAGAAAACAAAGTTGTTATGTTTCCTTCATAACTGTAGACGCTTCATACCCTCAGCCATTTGTAAAAGCGTGAAGTGCATTTGTTTGTTGTTCAGGTTTATGTCTGTGTGGATCTTCAATCTGCATTTCAGCCAAATCCCTACGAGTGCTACCAGGAAGATTATAGTAGCATTACCCTTTACAGCCATATGTACCCTGTGCAGCTCCATACTTACATGTGGTAACATAATGTTGTAACTGCTCTTTTTCAATGCTTTCCTGCACATCTGGGAAGAATGTTTTACCTACCCATTAATGATCCTGAATAAACATTTAACTGTCTTAAAAAATAGTAACCATAAATAAAATTCAGACTTATATCTGTATCTACCACTATGAAACATTTTCATCCATCCTAACTAAGTTCTGCCAGTCAGACCTTGCTATACAGGTTTTAGCAGGGCAGACCTGAAACCTGAGGGCTTTTAAACCCTGTCTGTCTGCTTAGCTAATCCCCAAGAAGAGGAGAGCAGCAAGTCTTTCTTCTGTCTCGAGACAATTGTATGCTTTAAAGAAGCAGTGGGAGGGCGAGCTCTACTGTGGGTCATAGGTGTCTCTAGCAGGGCTTTCCAAGGGTTCCACTTTTACTTTGTGCAGCAGGACACCTAGCTGGAACCACTTTTCAGCTTCCAGTGGTGCAGCTTGCTCACGTTTTCTACCAGCTTCCTGTCAGATGTCACCAGTCAGAGGTCATGTAACACAGCCTAAGCACGGGAAGTATGCGTGAATTGTTTGCAAAGGTTATGTGGCTGATAAGTCTGGACTGGTCACACCCCACTATACACTGGAGGCCTGTGCTCATTCTTTTGATATCTAGGGTCAGTACCAAACAAATTTATTCCCCATGTAGGGGCCAGTGATCAGAAGGACTCAGATAATAAATAGTTTGGCAAAGTATTTGTGGATTTCCAAGGGACCTGTAGGAGAAATGCCTGCATCTGTTTCATGTCTATATATGTGAGTACAAGAGGACATAGGCACGTGTTGAAACAGAAGCATTGTCCTGGGCTTTGTGTGTAAGTCTTCTGTTCATCTGTAGTAGAATTCAAGCTGAATACTGTTGCAGATACTAACATTTTAGTTGATTAGACTACTTCTCTTGTTAAAGCAAGAAGGTTACTCTTTGTGAGTATTGAATCGAAAGGATTGGTGTTGCACACTAAAGGGGATAGGAGCTTTGTATTCAGTATTTGTCCAGTTTCTAAGCAAGAAGAGTACTGAATAAGCAAGGCAGTGAAGGAAAGCTGTCTCTGAAGAGTAAACAAGTTGAAAGAGCTGCAGCTTACTGTTTATTCTTTTTGTCACTTTTCAGTCAGCTTTCTGGGTTAGAATTTAATTAAGCAATCCATATTAGGAACATTTATTTTTGAGAGACTTCATTCATTCTCTTATAAAATGGATATGTCTAGGAATAATGAAGAAAATGTGGAAGGTACAAGTTTGTTTTTGCCCAAGTAGGATCAGAAGAGAAAAAACGAGACTTACTTAGGTATCCTATTTCTTTTTCCATGCAACACTATAGTTCAGCATGAGAACTTCTAGTTTTTGGTTTGCTTCATTTGAAATGTATGCAAAGCATAAAAAAAACAGCTGATAAAGCCTTGAAAGACCATAATGCAGTTTCTTCAGTCTTGAAAACCCATGTGGTGTAGAAAAATTTTTGTTAGGCTCTAACTTCCTCCTGTTGGCTGAGGGCAGATTAGAATAATCAATTACTTTTATTTCTTATTTAATCCTACAGGTATTTATTTGTTCTGCAGCTGAAACTGGATATTCTTAGTGGAAAGTAAGTATTTCCAATAAACAGCTTTTTAAACAATTATAGTGTGTTTAGCATAGGATTTATTAAACTTATATTTGGATAATTAATGAGATTTGCTAAGGAATGTAATGTTATTTTTATCTCTAAAATATTACTTTGCTATGCATGAATAGCAGCAGAGGAATGCTTAACTACTGTAGTGCTTATCTCATGTTAATTTGCTGAAAATCTACTAATCCTTTTTCACTTGTTGCAAACATTTTCAGTTCCTCACTGTCATGTATATGAGTTGTCTGCCTAGTAGTGTCAGCTAAGGTTTTAACAATGCGTTTCTCTTATGGCAGATTGGAATGTCCTTTCGACACTGCCGTCCAGTTGGCAGCTTATAACATGCAAGGTGAGTAGGTACGAGTGGGGAAGGATGAAGTTGCATGAACGGCTTTGTGTCGACTCTTATTACCTCTTTTAGTCTGTCCTTGTTATAACTAGAAAATAGGTTCTGCCCAGATGTTAGCGATCCAGTGTGAAATACAGCTCTTTTTGATTGTAATTTTGCTGAGAGCATGTATAGAAAATTACTTGATTCCTCAGGAAACAGAACTAGGAGGTTCTGAACATAAACAGCTTTGCCCTAACATAAACAGTTTTCAAAGGTGCTTCTGTGAAAACCTGTCTGCTTTCATGCAAGTTACGAGGTCTGCAATCTTCCTGAATTGCTTCAATGTAGTAACACAGTTCACTTTTTTTTTCATTGTGTTGTTTCTGCCATGTGTTTTCTTTCCTGTACAAATCAGATACAAAATTATTTTGGTTTTGCACTCAATCGAAGAGACCTATTTATAAAAACCACCAGCTTTTGACTTCAGCTTATTTTTAGAAACATGTTAGTGTCCCATGTCTTATGCTTGTACTCTGAGCATTTACGGTTGAACTGCACTTGTAGGTATTTCAGATCCTTCTGCAGCCAAAAGATGTGACATGCTATATTTATTCTCAGCTATACAGCTATTCATGGGTCATCTGAGACTTAATAATGAGTTGTCTTTCACTTTTGATTCTAGTCGAGACTCCAGCATCCATGACTTCTGAGAGCTGTGGTTTGAGCTTCTGTTGCTTGTATAGGTTGTACAACACTGGTCTTCACGGCCAGTGTCTTCTGTTGTTTGGATGAGGGTGTAATCTTAATGAACATGAAATTTGCTGTGGTTTCAAGCAAGGGAACTCACAGAAGAAAGGGGAGGCTTTAAAATGTAGAAATGTCTGCTGGAGTAGGCTTTTGGATCCTTATTGGAGGATATAGCTATATGGTCTTATTCAACCCAGTTTATGAGTCTGCAAAAACACCCAGAACCTCTTCTGTAAAGCTGTTGTACAGTCCTCTTTGATGAAGAGGGAATTTGGAGATGTGCCATGCATTTGTGCCACACAAATTCTCTGCATGACATTCACCTTGTAAGCCAATTCACCGTTGTACTTTGCAGCAGTTAGGTAACAGGCCTAAGTCACTGAAATTCTTTCTCTTACAGATATTATCCAAAATACATTTTGTTCAGGCAGGAACTACTAATGGCCCTCATCATGTGTAGGTATAGAGTTAGGAAAGATACCTGCCTTTTTAACCCGCTCTTTTGTGCAGAAGGGAAACAGTTAGAATACATTCCATAGTTAAAAATATTAGCATTGTTAGAGCCTTAAGGTACAGACAGCTTCAGTGAATAAGTTTTTGGAAAAACAAAGTGATCTAATTAGGCTATATATCCATTTCTTTTTGTGCTGGTCTTTTCTTTACTCTCTCCACAATGAGGCCCATAGCAGGGCTTTAATCTTACTGTCTGACAGCTGTGTACTTTTATTTAAATCAGCTGGAACCTAAGCTGGCTTTGACAGCATTCCTTTCAACAGAGGCAGGCGTTTTAGTGGGAGTAAATTATTATAGAACTACAGACTTCCTCAGTCAGCATTTAAAAAAAAAAAAAAAAAAAAAAAAAAAAAAAAAAAAAAAAAAAAAAGAAGAAAAAGGAAAAAGGAGGGGATGAAAAGACTATTATTATGCTTGCAGTGTTCAGAAATCCAAGAAACAGGTTTTTAGATTGAATATAGTTTCTGTACCTCTGGAATACTGCGTGTGTTTGACTTTTCCAGGTCTTCTCAAAGATGTCACTATTTTTCCTACAAAAACATCTGTAGGTTTTTTTCAGATAGAACAGTTATTGGCCTGTATTAGACACCCAGGGCCAAGTTATAGAATTATTCCTGATTTTTTGAATATGAGCCAGACATTAAGAAGCTGCTTGAAATCAGTGAGAGGAACAAATGCTTAGTGACTCTGAAAATCAGGATGTTTTTATAAAGGCTTCTAATGGTGAGTTTCAGCATTGTAGGCATACATCAGTATTTTAAAGCTGGACTTGTTAAGATCTGTGGAAAATGGAGGTTGTGCTTTTGATGTGGCACACCTGTTGAATAGTATGTTCAGTATGCTCTCTAAATAGCATCTTTATTGCCCCTGTTGAGCATGCAGCAGTGGACTAGAATGAGCCATTTGACTGACCCAGTAGAGCGTTTATTACGTTCTTAGATGAAAAGGAGAGCCACAAATAACAGCTGCATGATTGTGCCCTGACACAGAGTACTTTTAGCAGGCCAGGGGGATTTATATTCATAAGACCAGAAATTGATTTTTCAAATGGACAAACAGTTTTATGAAAAGTATCAGAACTGATTCTGCTTTTTACAGATCTGAAGAGATTTTGTTTTAATAACTTAAGGCAAAATTCCATTGTACCTTATTCAGCTGTTGTCTCAGTAGAGACTTCAGTGATAAAAATGTTGAAAACTTTCTGCAAGAAATTAAAAAGGTGAGTTTCAAGGATGTTGATAACTTCCATTTACAGGAAGCTTGTTAAAGGATATATCAATAGCACTTTGTAAAAATTAATGCAAAGCTTTTGTGCAGACAACGCAACTGAACCGAACCATTTGTTCAGTGTCCATGAATTCCCTGTCAAAAAAGGTGACACTTCAAATATTGGGAGGACTGGAGGTGAAGAAGAAACACAAAGAAATTTAGTATTTTAGATTAACTAGAAAAGTATGCAGAAGTTCCTGTTAATATCCACTGTGTTTACTGCGAACATTGCTTGACAATGCTGTTTTTTTTCTAGCTGAACTTGGAGACTATGATCCCGCTGAACATGTCCCTGAACTGGTGTCTGAGTTCAGGTTTGTTCCCACTCAGACTGAAGAGATGGAACTAGCCATTTTTGAGAAGTGGAAAGAATGCAGGTACTAGATCTTTCAGTGCATGTTAACCAGCTGTTTGCACAGATTTTTCTGTGAAGAGAATGTATTAAAAAGATGCTGATGACACTTATGCTGTGGTCTTGTTCAGAAACTTAATTCTACTATGGTTCTGTCATATTTTGTGAGAGGATATAATGTAGAAAATTAAGCTTTTCACAGGTCTGAGTAAAATGATGAGGTACAGAATCTTGAAGCGCAATATTTTTTGCAGCAGCAGTTTTAGATTAAAATTTACAAAAGTGTGACCTTGATGTTCATGAAAGTGAAAAAGTGTTGCAGCATTTAGGTTTCTCCCAAACTTCCTGGAATTTCTTTTCTTCTTTCCTCATATACCAGTTTTTTCTTTCTGTGCTTTTTCAGACATCTACCTAACAGCAAAAAATTTATTTCAGGGGGCAAACACCAGCACAGGCTGAAACTAACTACTTAAACAAAGCTAAGTGGCTGGAAATGTATGGTGTAGACATGCACATAGTCAAGGTATGTTTAACCACAGCATGGTGACCTTTGGAAATGATAATGTTAGCTTTGTCCTGCATTTCAACACTGATTTTGCTTTGAGGGGGAAAAAATGGACTATTGTACTCATCTAAACTGTGTAACAAGCGATCTGGCTTTGCATCAACTTTCCACTTCATAGTATACGTTTCTAGAAGGTATAGCTTTAGTCCAAGCATATCTGCTCCTTGTTAAATATGTGATTGGTGTGGTAATATGTGCTACAGTTTGTATTTGGACTAAGAGCTATGTGAAACTCATAGTAATTAAATTAAAATTGGCTGGGTTCCAGCTGTCTACCAACTGAAGAACTGCAAGTAAAAATGGATCTCCCGTCCAGAGGGAAGTGCAGAGAAGTGTGCAGGGAGGTCCTTATTACACAGACAATTCAATAAACTTTTAGTTTTCCACTTTAGTCAGCCTTATTGAAGGGTTTCAAACTAGAAAAATCCATTTCATAAGATCATTGAAGTACCAGAGTTTTGTTGTATGAAATAAGAAGATACCTGTTTAATTGTAAAACTGGACAAATAAGCTACATTAATCACTGGAGTAACTTGGATAAAGGATCAAACACCAAAATGAACATAATCTTTATTTTTTGGCAATCAGGCAAGAGACGGCAATGATTACAGCCTAGGTCTAACGCCTACAGGAGTTCTTGTCTTTGAGGGAGACACGAAGATTGGTTTGTTTTTCTGGTAAGCTCTCTGATTGTATGTTAAAATAAATTTTAGATTTTTTACTCTTGTTTCTTTTGCACTAACAAAAAAAAATAATTGTTTGTGATATGAAACCACTGTGAATACTAGGTACCTGCAGAAATATTCTGTAGCATGTGAGTATTTTCACAGAGTAGAAAAATATTCCTTTTTTTAACAATCTTGGTGATACGTTAATAGACTGTACATGTGTAATGTGCTAGAGGCAAGTAAAAGATGGAATAACTTTGGGATGTTTCTATTTATTGATAAAAACCCCAAACACCCTTCATGCTCCCCCTCAACCTAGATCTGTATAGCCAGGGGATATAAAGCTTCCTTTAGTTTTTGTGAACATGTGCTGCTTTATCTGTCAAATATCTGAATAACACCCCACGGTTTCTTAGGAACGGCCTGATAAAATTTTGTAGGGCTTTAAATTGCAATGTGGAGAACCTTCTAGCTAGCATATTTGTGTCTGGGTACACAGGTATTTATGGATTATTTTTAAGTGCTTTATTTTGGAATTCCTATCCAGTCTTTCAAACATGTATACAAAGACTAAGTAGGCAGATGATGAGGTAAAATTTCATCTTATGGGTAGTTAGTGTGAGTTAGCTCAGTCCAATTTTATAAACTCAGAAAAACACTCCCTTTGTAGCGGAAATGTTATGTGTGTGTCTTGTTCCTCCAGCATCAGTTCTGGGTATTGTTTTGGTGGGCAGGGAGGGAATAGTTGCATTTTTGTGTCATGTCACATTCACATAGTTCTCTTTGGCTGGAATTTTCTGAATCAGAGTCATTGTAGGAATTGATCGGTGATAAATTGTCCAATGATTTACATTTATTTAATAAAGCATAATTATTTTGGCCTGCCTTTGTGTCTGTCTTAGTTCAGTTTTGTGGGTTTGTGGAAGAGTAGGCAAGCAGGAGTATCTGGGTGGAGTTTGATTTCAGTTCAAGTAATTATTATTTTAAGTTCTGATAGAATTATCTCTTTAGAAGTTGCTGATTTGTTATCTTCAAGGTTTCTAATTAAGTGTTAAATTTTGAAGGGATACATTGGTATCCATAGTACAATCAAGCCCTACTGCATGAACTTAAAACACCCACAAAACCAGAAAAAAAATATTTGGTAGAGGCGATTGGACCAGCATGTCAAACATATCTCTGAGTTACTAAGAGAATTAGATGGAACCTGATTTTTCTGTTCATCTTGCAGGCCAAAGATAACACGGCTTGACTTCAAGAAGAACAAACTCACTCTAGTTGTTGTTGAAGATGATGAACAGGTAGATAACTATCTGTTTAGCTACATCTCAGTCTTGATTATACAGTGCTGCTTTACAAACTCCTGATCTCTTTCTTTAAATTAACATGGATGACTTGCAAGACTTTTGATTGTGGCTTGGGGGGAGGAGGAGATAGAAGGGACTTAAGTATAAAATAAATAGACTCAACTACTTTTTTTCTTACTCAGTTTTTAAGAGGGGAATACCTTGTGAAACTAGTGTAGACCAGATAATTTGGAAACAGAGTGCACTGTGCAAGAAAGCTTAAAAAAAGGCCATGTATGACATTTAGTGGAATTAATTCCTTAAGCAGATGTCAGAATTGTTCTCATGAGAAGAAATTGCTCAGAACTGAGATGATAAAAATGTGAGCATTGGTAATTTGAGATCAGACTTGAAAGTGAGACTGTGTTAGCCTTATTGAGAAGTACCTTGCTATTATAATCATGTCTTTAATTTGTAGTTATTCAGAGGTTTGACTTGTTAAATATATGGGCTCTAGCCCTTTCCAAGTTCAGACAGTTGGAGCAGTTTTTCATTAAAGCTTCTGAAAAGCTTGATTTTTTTTCAGCCTAAAGTACTTTTTTTAAACATACATTTCATTATTCATAAAACCCCAAATTTTATTTGGCTTGTATTGAATTGTAGCTTTGACTTATTCAAGCCCCTTGTAAATAGTCAGTGTGCTTTGTGTACTTTAAGGGAAAGGAGCAGGAGCACACTTTTGTCTTTAGACTGGATCATCCCAAAGCCTGCAAACACTTGTGGAAATGTGCAGTCGAACATCACGCCTTCTTCCGGCTCCGAGGTCCTGTCCAAAAAAGCTCAAGTCGGTCAGGCTTCATTCGGTTAGGATCCCGGTTCCGATACAGGTCAGTGTCATCTATCATTTTGCACATACCTTCTGTCATTTCTTGCTTTTCTTGGGTTATGCATGGAAACAGGAGAGAGCTTGGTATTCATTTGCCTGGGATGTATACAACAGTGAAACCTGGAAGCTGAGTTGCATTATTGGTTTTGTTAAATCATACGGATTTTCCCCCAGCATTTTCTGATTTACTTTTAGGTGATTCTGGTCTGTGCAGTAAGAAACTAAAGGTTTCTCAAGGTCTGTGTTCCTTACATAGCATATATAGTATATTGTGTTTTATAGATAGCTTAATCTTGAAAGCCCACCCTTTTTTAAGTGACCCAGAGAGGATGGGTGATTGATTTGCACAGTTGAGGACATTGCAAGTCTTTTGACTCTTGAGTTCCTGACTGTCTGAGTGATGGTAGCGCATCAGAAGCCTAAAGTAATGCCCATTCCACGCTAGGCACTACAGGTGTATGTAACAGGCTTCCGAATGGCTTGTGGTCCCAGACTAGTCTGCAGGATGCTGTCAGCTCCCCACCCGAGTGGTGAGAACATATGGAAGGGGGGGTGGGGGGTGGCTCCCCAGCAGTATGCACAGACTTTGCTTCCATTTCCAGCAGCTGTAGCAATACCATCTAGTCTGCTTCAGAGAGGATCAGGGGTACCAAGGAGTCGGTAGACCTTGAGACTGCTACTGCCATGGGGGCAGAGACTGGCCAAACTTGGGGGAAAAAAGACTTGCCTGGGAACAAGAGCATCTAGATGCTGGTTTTTAGTCCTGTTATCATCTTTCTCTATGACCTTTGGCAACATACCTTTACACTCTCCTAGGATTTTCAGCCTCTCCCAAACTCTCTATGCACTGTGACCACAGAAATATGCAAAGGGCAAATGTGCTTTTTCAGCGACTTAATGATTAAGGAGTCATTGCTTCAGCCTTTTGTCTTACAGAAAATGGAGTGAAGATTAGGATGTTTGTAAAACTCCTTCACTTTATTGTGAAAGGCCTTCTGAGGTGTTAAGTTTGGGATTTTTTTAAAAGAACTGAGATCACATTATTAAGCTATGAGTTTAAAATATAAATCCGGTGTTTTGATTAGCAGTGTCTGTATTCTGTCATTAAAAATAAGTTATTTATTTTATCATTTTGTACTTTTACATGGCCTTGTTAGTGGGAAAACAGAATATCAAACAACTAAGACTAACAAAGCCAGGAGATCAGCATCCTTTGAAAGGAGGCCCAGCAAGAGATATTCAAGACGAACACTGCAAATGAAAGGTAAGAATACTGTGAGAATTAAACAATCTCATTCTTTAAAGGTTCTGTGTAGGAATTATTGTGCAGCTGTTTGCCCTTCTCTTGAATTTTCAGTGTTAGGTTTTCTTTGACTTATGTGGGAGACCACATTTATTTATCAGAAAAAGCTTGTGTCCAAAGCATGTCATTCTAGCTTGCCTAGCAGGTAAAACACCCATAAATATTGCACAGTAAGTGTCTGTATGAAGATGGAAAACTTGGGTCCAGGAAGCAGGGATATGTTAATGATAATATTTGAAATCTATGAATCAAGTTTGAAATTTTTGTCATGGAGATTTTTTCATTGTTCTTAGGAGTTGCACTCTGTTGTCACAACCTGACAGCATGTGATACCTTGTCTCTTATTCCCACACTTGCATAGGTTGGGCATGATCTCCATGCATGCTTTTGGATACTTGTTTAAATCCGACTCTTTGATTTGCTCTTCAGATATTTTATGTTTCCAATTTAGAATTTTATTTTCACACATTATACATGGGATACATGTATACATATACATGCAACTTTTGCTCTTTTAGTCACCTACTTTTACACAGTGCTAGACTTTTTATTAATACACTTAATATTATAACTGATAGCCTAATTACAAATTAAATCTTAATTAAAACTTTATATTTTTGCAGCACATGCTGCTAAACTTGAAGAAACAAGGTAAGAAGCCTTCTAGTATTTAAATTTCTCTTTGATGTTTGCCACTTGTACTTGAGCACATGTCTGCAGAAGGAGGTTATAAGATTAGTTAAATGTAAAGAGCATTAACTTCCTAACTGTGGTTTGGTTGTGGGATTTGTGTTTGTTTGCTTAACATAAAATGTACTGTTCAGAGCAAAGTTCCTGTGTGCTGTCATATAGAAGATTTTGCCAGAGTTGCTTACTAGCAGGTAAAAGAGATTTCTGAAATCTGCCTACTCTGGCTGGGTGACTGAAATATATAATCAAGTGAATATCATAGATGGGGAAAATAGAGTAAAATAAATATTTGAAATATGTTGGTGGCTTTATATTCTTTACTATATTTGCATTTTTCATATACGTATTTATTTTTATGTATTTCTACTAAACTATCCATGATAAACGTTGAGAGGGAGGCCTTTTGGTTCTTTATTTCTATACCTGGATTCTTTCTGCATGTGTAGGTTCATAGTTGCTATTGCAATGTGAAATACTCACGTGAATCTGAATCATACAATTTTCATACCCTTCCTTAAGGGAAGAAGGGTGCCTAAAAAGTATTACCTGGTAGTGAAGAAACTAAGTCACTCAGTTCTGGTTTCTGTCCTTTGCCCTTATAACTTGTGAACATTGCAATGATGAGTTGCAACCAATTATTTTTAAAAGATAGATACTCATAGATATTAAGCATCATGACAGTCAGAAGCTTGGTAAAGCATGTCAAACTAACATTTCAAAACAGGCTTAATACAGCCATACATTTTCTGTTTTTAGCAGCAGGGTTGATTTTTCTATGAGAGAAGCGTGGGGACACGGCTGCAGTTACTGTAGTGGAGGTCTCTCTGTCTTTGTGACCTTCTGTATTGTTTTTTCTTTATATGGGAAAGTACTTTTCAAAACTGGGTGTCATTAAAGTTCTTAAAGATCCTCTGCATGCAAAATGTGACTGTGATTAATTAGTACTCTCGTTATGCTGTGTGGTCATGCCCTTCTCCGAGTTTCATGCTACTTAGGTCATTCTGAGAGTGGGAAGAGAAACTTCATATGCAGTTTCTCCTTCTGATAAGACAGAGGTCTTCTGATCTGTGCCTAGGTGTGGCACGGTTATGTTAGTCTTCAGAGAAGTCTATGCCATTTCCGAAACTCTACACTTGAGTTTTGCTAATTGAAATGCATCATGAAAGATGTATGTTGTTCCATTCTTTAGTGTTATCTCAGCACAGGGGAATGTGCTACCTGGAAGGCATTCCTTAATATTTCTCTTAAATGTGCACTATTCTATGGTAACCTCCACATTCTCTCAATAGCGAAGGTGTGGAGTTGGGAAACAGGCAAGAAACAGCTTGTTTGGTCTTGATATTATGGTTCTTTAAGTAAAATAATTCTAAAGAATCACTGAAGTAGATACAGAAATCTATTTGAATTGTCAGCTTGCCAGGTTGGATAGCTGTTGTCCAGACTGTAAATCAAAAGATTAATGGGTTGTAGGAGAGTGGAACCATTTTTTAAAAGATTAGAAGTCTGGGGAAAAAAAGTTTGCTTTGTATGAGATTTATAATGCATAATTATTGTTCAGGGTGTTCATGCATTTAAGTCTCTTGAAAATGTGAAATGTCTCTAGCAGATTCAGAAATCATCAGGAATAGGGATATGAGTCTTATTTAATTTATTAGCTATAATAAATATTTAATAATATAAAATTATTAATAATGCTGTGCTGAGCTGCTGTGCACATAATTTTGAATGGCTGCTTTTAACTGAAGCAGTAATTCAGTCCATTAGAGGTTGTACGCAGAAGAAACTTATAAATTTTTCTGATAAACTTTGCGATGTGAAACTTCAAATCAGGAGAGTTCTAATTATGGAACAAACATGATATCTACAGAATGTAGGTGAGTTTTCAACAATGTCACATTTTGCTGGGTATTTAACTAAAACTGTATTGATTTTACTTTAAAAGTTCCCCACCTTACTACTGAACCAGGAAGACTTTCTAAATCAAACTGGTTTAGGAAAGGAAGAGGTAAAACCAGATGAATTACGGTTTGAACAAATAAAAAGTAATGTGATACCCTTAGTTACATAGAATGAGGCAACTGACTCAAAATGTAAGTTTTAAAGTTTTAAGAACAGTTAAGTACTTTGGAAAGATCTTTGTTAGAATTTGTGTTTCTTTCCAAAAGTCCTTGCAGTGCTGCCCCCCTGCAAAAATAGTTTCTTGATCTGATGCTGATTTAAATTCTTGTCTTTCAGTACTGCAAACAATGCTGTTATCAACCAAACTAACGGATCACAAGTAAGGACTCTCATTCTTTCTAAAGGCAGTTTTCATGTATTTCAACAGATTTGAGGATTTCATTATTCATTCTTAAAATCCAGTGATTGACCAATTAAAAGTGACAAACAGTTAACTGCTAAATTTCATGCCAGGAAATGACTACTAATTTACAAGCAAGATAATTGATTAATTTAGTTCGAGTAAGGAAGATAGCCCATACTCCAGTACTATAGAAAACTATGCTATTTATAGATACCGATTTTCATAGGTATACAAAGTACCTCTGTGTCAGAGTTGTTATTAGTCAAAGCATGTTAATTCTATATGCTAAGTAACATTAAGGAAAAGGAGGCGCAGTTCATCAGCACCTGTGCTGATTCCTGGTTACAGTATTTTTTTTTATTCTGAAAGAGGGGAATGCACCTGGGACTTAAAGAATACATTGTTAGCAAAAATTCAGTGTTCCCTGAGCTTGAGAAGGAAATCAGAGACACCTGTCCTCTCAGTACTTATACAGAGAATACCTTGTTTCATTGAAAAGTGACATTAGTGTAAAGTAACTCTCCTTGTGATTATCAAAGAACAGGATTTAGAGTTTGGAAAGACCCTGTCTCACTTTCTGGAGCATTTCAGATGCAGAATGTGACAGAACGGGTCATATATTGGTAAAAATGGGATTGTGGTTTGTTTTAGCATTAAAATACTCAATCTCTGCTGATAGATAGATTGCTGCTCTGCTCAGCCTTTTGCCTTCTGTGTAAAAGGAGTTGATTTTTTTGGGAGCAGTTCTGTTTCAAATTGCAGTCCAAAGGTCTGCAACCCAAAGGTGCCAGTCGTTATTTTAAAGTTACATACAGATGGAAAGCATTACTGCATTAATTTAAAAAGGACACAGCAGGCCATAGTTTTTTACTGAAGTATTTGAGCAGCCTTGGATTTGTTATGATCCCAGTACTGTGTGCAGTACTGGAAAAGACGGGGGCATCGCGGTATCCAGTGCTGTGGAAGTAACCGAAGACAAGAGCTTTGCTTTAGCTTTGTGCCTAAGGAGAAGTGCTGATACGTTTTGCTCTGTGTAACGTGTCATCACATTATGTATAATATGTATAATAACTTGTGTATATTCTGTGTCCAAAGAGCTGGAATGCAAAGCCAAACCTACCTGTCCTAACAGCAGTTCCTCCTGCCCCAGTCTTAGTGGAAATAGAGAACCTCCCAAGGAGCCCAGGAGCCAGCCAGCAAGACAGGAAGTGGTATGTTCTGCTTTGCTGGGAAACGGAGTTTGCTTGCCTATGCATGATTTAAGTGGCTATTTCTTTATCTGCACTTAAATAAGCTGTCATCTTTGTATCTTTAACATAAGTTGACAGTCGAGTTAGTGGTGATGCAACTGATTTGTTGCTGTGAGTGTAGTGTGGGGAGGTGAGGACAACAGGCTTAGTCACTGCCAACTGAAAGAAAATTTCTTGAGGGGCTGAAGAAATGATTGAATCAGGAACAGCATTTTCAAGTCTTGGAGAGAGCTAGATCCTCCTTATTTGCCATAATACTCCTTGTAACCCTTTGCTTGGTATCATGGGGCCCAAGGACTTACCTTGATCCTTAACAAAATGCAGAACCTTGTTCAGAAAATCAGTGTCCTTGTGAATCATCTTTTGAAATGGGCAAGCTGATGTTTCTCATTTTCTTGGATGGAATGGGAGCTTGAGGAAAATGACACAAGCTGAAGATAAGAGCTTTGATTTCATGTAATCAGAGTATTTGTTTTATGGATTGGATCTCAAAATGAGGATGATTTGTTTGAAGATAAATATACATACAATTTATCTTTTCTTAAAGTAATTCTATATTGCAAAGCTATTTCAAAACCAAAACTGACATATAGCAACCCAGTATTTCTGCACACATCATCTTTACTTTTTCAGCTTCTTGTGCATTCAGAGCCAGTATGACTTATCCTAGGAGGATAATTCTGATTTCTGCAAGACTCTCCAGGAGTAGCAGCAATGGAATGGAGTGACACACACAAAAGCTCTTATCCTAAGCAGTTTCAGCCCTCAAGAGAAAGGTCTTCCTCCCGTTGTCAGGCATATGAACCTACTTTACTTCAGTATCTCTTAAAAGTAGATAATATGTGTTTTTAACAGTGCAGTAACCAATGTACTTTAATTTTGTAAACCTTATTGATTAAAGACTTCTAATACTATGGATTTGGGATTATAAGGGGGATGATAATTCTGCTTTGTGTGGCATTTTACAGTCAGAACGTATGATCAATGCTGTTTTTCTTTCTTTTGCCCTCAATTTGTCTAGTATCTGAAATCTGTGCTTGTCTATGGTGAGATCCTGTTGATCGCTCGATTCCTTCCATGGTGGTGGGTGAAAGGTGGTGGTTTCTTTGTTCTTCAGCATTCTCAGTATGGTTTTATTTTTATTCTTTTGGTCTAATTGCAAGATGAGTGCTAGAAAAAGGCATTTCCTTGGTGGGAATCTTTGACTCTTGCTCCAAACAGCTCTTCTTGGGATCTGATTCGTGCTAGCATTCTTTCTGTTATTTTCAAGGCTTCTGTTGCTTATTGAGATCCTACTGCTTTTGCTGAGAAGCAGAGAGGACTTTGTAGACAATCTGTTTCAGTTTTGATCTTGGTACACCTGTTTTAGGATTAAGAACTTGAGCCTGGTTGTCTAAACATTGTCAGGGAATCTAAGCTTATGTGCCAGCTGCCACAGTATGTAGCCTTTCTGTAGAAGAGTGGGAGTGAATGTAAAATATACCTGCATGTAACCCAAAACAGTATGCCATAAGGAAAACAAGCTTCTTGGCAATTGGTGCATTTTAATTGAGGGTGTAATGCTTATGCTTGTATGTGTTATGTTTCTTAGAGATATATCATTATTATTGAAGGCAGTTGTCTTCTGGCAAAGAGGTTTTAATGTGTTCACTGAAAACTACTGCCTGTAATAAAGGGCAAATCCAGCTGTAGGAAGAAGACAATGGTTTGGAGCTGAGTCAGCAATTGAGCTACATTCTGGTTTCCTAGATGGGAACTGGGGTTAGGTTAATGTAATTGCCAGAACATATGTATTTATTGTGGGGGCTGTGACTTGGCTAATGTGCCTTCAAGTCTTGGTATCTCGATGCTGCTAACAAGACCTCTTTTCAGCTGCTACTGTCTTTAATTGGCCTGTTTCTGCATGAGTTATCTTTGCTTTCTGTCAGAAAAATAGTCTTCTTTTAGAGAGAGTTTGCCAAGGATTGCTGAGAACACCAAAATCTTTTGGACTGGGGATTTTGTAGATAGTTAGATTGAAGGGGTTTAGAAGTAAGGTCCTGACCTCATGAATTTCTGTACTCTGCTTGGCAGATGCCTGTACTGGCTACCTTGCCCTTCCTAATGTCAATGTTTCCTTTAATTTAAAATGTTAATGCTGCAGCTGCCAACAGCAATTGTGCCAGATTGTAGAAAGTGCTTTGCCAGATAGGAAGGATTTTAGTGTTGAGAAGGGTTTTTTTTTCATTGCTCTATTCCTGTAAAATTGTCAGTAAAGGAAAACTGTACTGGTCTACGTGATCTGAAAACAGTCTGAAATATTAGCTGTAAGGCTGGGAAGCCTAAAACAGTGTCTCTTAAATTTAGTCTTTTCTCAAGAAGCTGTTTCTGTGCTAAGACAAGACTGGAGACAAAGGTTCAGTAATTTTTTTTCCTTATTGTGGAATAAGTAGGGGGGTTCTTTGCTAGTGGAGGTAGCTTTCACTTAACTGCTTAAATTAGAGAAATAGGAAAATAATGAATTGTTGAGGATTGGAGCCTTCAGTATTCATGGGTCACTTCCTCAGCATATTTCACAAAAAACAAAAACTCTGAATTTACTCAAGGGTGACCTTTATATAAATACTCTCTCTTTTCTAAAGGAGGACTATCCCATTGCATTAATCACTTACTGCTGTTGTGAATCCTGCATGTTTTTCTGCTTCTCTGCCTTAACATGTGTGATCATCCAAATCATGCACTGGCTACTTGGCTGTTCTGGCAAGGCTGGGAGTGTTAAACCAGACTTTCTGGACCATGAGAAGGTGGAATTTGAGCTGGGGCTGTCCAGGACCCCTCTAGATGAACAACAACAATGTTTTCATTTTGTTCAGATTTGGGTCATTAAATAGAGAATTAAACTGAAGGAATACATTTGGTTTAGGAATTCCCTTGCTTGAGTAGTTTGAGAGAGTGCTTTTTTCTAAGCACTTTTTTGATACCTTACTGTATCTTGCATCAGCCTCTCCTAAAACACCAGTGAAGGATCCTAGTACAACACAGACAACATTTAACAAACCACTGTCCATTTTTAAGTCTTTTAAAATTCAACTGTTTCGGTAAATTGCTTATCCCTGCTGCTTTGGAGATGCTTGTGCCTAAAGCCTTACAGTTTTCTAGCTAAGGGCTCTTGCATAAAAATATTTTTCAAAACAATGTTTAAAGCAATGAGTGTTCTCCCCTGCTCCTCTTTCTAGCTTTTAGAGGACTTTATTCCAACTGGGCTATAGACTAACCATAACTGTGCATTTCTGTGGTTTTCATTGTAGAAATTCACAATTCAAAATTTACGAACCATTATGCCTATATATCATATACAAAATTAGAAAGCAGAGTCTTAGGTTGTATTGTGACCTTTTTTAAAATGGTTCTTTTTCCAACCATGTTTCTTATGTTAATCAATTATAGCTACAGTCAGCTTCTTCAGTAGTATTTAGTCCCTTAGTGACCTAAATTGTGAATGATTTGTGTGTGCTCTACTGTTTGCTCCTGCACGGTAATGCTCATTTTTCTGAGTTTCTGTTTTCTTCTTTTTTTTAACTTCTATTAGAATCTACATTTTCCAGTGACTTTGAAAACTGGTATTGCTTGTAGATGCTTGTTTCAGGTGTACATTTAGCGCTGCCACTTAAACCCTTTCAGCTTCCTGCAAATAAAATGCACTGTATACCTGGGAGGTCTGTTCCTCCATCACTTATTTTGTTCCATCTGTAAAACACGCGTGGTTCTTGCTCATTTTGTGAGGTGCTTTGAAATATAAAGTGCTTTTCATTTGGTAATGAGATAGCTTAAATTGTCATTTCAGACTTCTGCAAAAATGATACTGAGCCGAAAAGGGGTTATTTGGCAGTGTTGTAATGTACATGTATACTCGCATGCCTCTTTCCTTCAGTATTTACCCTCCAGCAATGCCCTTTTCCTTTTTCATATCGATCTTCTTGTCTTTACCTTTGCTTTACTTTTCCACCCCCTTTCTCGTCCGTACCTGTTTACTAATTGTGCCCCCTCCCACCCCTCAATAATCCAGGCCCTTTGACGCTGCCGACCGCTGTCAACGTGGTGGAAGCCCGTGGGAGGCGTGGGCCCCGCCGAGGACCCGTGCTGCGGACGGACAGTACAGCGCTTTTGTCCATGAGCGCAATGTGAAGAATGCGGGAATGCATAGCCGTGCTGGTGCCTATGCTGTCCAAACCACCATGACCAGTCTCTGAGACCTGAGCCTTTCTGGAGCTTGAGGCTGCTTTCTGGCTGAGGCTGGAAAATTACCTTTTGAGCTGTCTCAGATAAGGACAACGGACCCGAAAGTGACTATAGAGGGGGAAAACAGCTTTTTTTACAAAGGCTCTGCATATTGTACTGTTGGTATTTAGTCTTTAAAGGAAAAATAACATATAGACCAGAAGCCACCCTGTGTTCTTACATTAAAAAGAGAATATATATTTCTTTTTAATTGTGTTAAGGTTTTTCTTAATGATTGACATATTTTTTTAGCTGGGTTTAACTTTGAAAGCCATGCAGGAAGTCACATTTGTGATAAAACTACACAAGCAGCTAGGGGGTTATAATGTGGTTTCGAAACTGCTCTTCCTTTTGAACCATGATTATTTAAAAATATCTAAGATAGATGGTTGATCTGAAAGCTAACTTTTTTATTTTTTAACAAGCCTTCTTCTGAAAAATATTGTTTGGAAATGGAATAGAATTATTTTAATTCTTTAAGAATAAAATCATCAGAACTCCTGAAAAGGCAAAGAGTAATCTTTTTTTTTTGCTTTCTTGAAAATCTTATTTCGTTTTTGCTGCTGTGATCCAGTTGAAACGAAACAAATATTTACTGACAAACAGCAGTCCTACCATATGATTCATGAGGTTAATTGTTAAGTCAGAGGTTAAGACTCCAGCTTCATGGCTCATTGGTGTTCTTGGGGGCCTTTAACAGTGTA